TGACTCTAGAAACATAATGACTAGAGTTACTGGAACTGCCAGCCAAAGTGGCAGAGCTTTACAAGGCGGCACAGTTCTGGCCAGAGGTCAGTTTTCTCATTATCGCAAATAAACTCCCAAGAGGCAACTTAATGGCAGAGAAATGGGTGAGCTGATGGCTTCAGTGGTCCGTCGTGGTCCGCCCCACCCCGTTCCCCCCCCTCCCCGTCCCCCCCCTGCTCCCCCCCTCCACCCTCCGGTAGCTCAGCCCAGGAGCCTGGCACTACATCATGGCTGTCTGGGTAGATGGTACCCAGCCAAGACTTCACTTTTCTTCTGGACAGATGAGAAGCAGAGAGAGACAGAGGGGGCCTAGATAAGACAACAGCCCCCACAACCACACCCCAGTGAACTGTTTACTCCAGCTCGGCCTCACGTCTAAAGTTCCCAGAACTTCCTCAAATAGAGCCAACAGCTAAGGACCACATCTTTAGCGCATGAGCCTGCGAAGGACCTTTCCCTCTCAAAACTATAGAAAATATTTTTCCTTTCAAATTATGTTTCCTTTAAATATTATACTTTTTCAAGCCAGAGTGACCACCTTTGTCTCCTAACTAAAACATTTAGTGAGTTTACATGTCAGGTACTTACTGAAATATCTAGTTTCACATCTCATCTTATTGTTTCTCATGTCTGCTGTGGATCTCTTCCTTCTCTCTTGCCTTCTTTGGATTGATGATGCATTCTTTATTTCTCTTCAGTTTAATTTAGAAGCTGTCAAACCATTTTACTATTCTTCCAGACTTTAGCATTTCAGTACCCATCCTGGCTTATCTTCCCAGACAATGCAAGGACTTTGGAAACATTTCTCTAAGGGAAGGAGGTGCTAGAGACTGACCTATACCCCTTACCCAGGACCATAGAGCATTAAACTCCAACCCCACCCTGTGACTTCTCCATTATCACTTATTTTAATTTATTTAGAATCATCGTCTAAATATGCTGTGATGTTGTACATGAGTTCAAATAGTCCTCTTGCACCAGCATCCTAGGTATCTAGAACTATAGTCATAAGCCTCCAAGCCTGTATTATCATTTACTTTAATTCTATATACATTGGAAACTCTTCAGACACTATTGCTACTGTTTTATATGGCCAATATTTGTTTAAATTTATCACATATGCACATTTTCCTTGTTCTTTATATTCTTCTTCCAACACTGACATTCCTTGTGCATAAAGAATATTCTTCAGAGTGCTTTAAAGACAATATCTGCTTTATCAATGCTCTCAGTTTTTGTTTATCTGAATTTAACTTGAAGGATATTTTTCTCAAATATGGACTAAGTTAAAGCTGGTGGGATTTGGAGTTTGCTTTTCCTGGCAAATTGAAAGAACTCTCTTTGGCCTGGCTTTCACAGTTTCTATGACTGTGTGTTGTCAGTGTGGCCTCCCTGTCTCTAGTCCCTTTTATTTGGTTGTTTTTATGATCTTTGTCTTAAGACTTCTGCAGTTTTTCTAGCATATGCTACAGAATTGATTTGTTTCCTCTGCTACGGTTTAGAGTGCACACTGATGCCTTTTATCTTGTTTGAAATAAGCATTTTGAATGTTAGCTTTTGTTCTTTTTGTGTATGTATATGGGGGACATATGTATGTGTTGGTGTGGGTGTATGCCTGTGTGGTATGTCTACAAATGTGGGCATACCTGCATGTGGGTGTGTATTGTTGTGGGGTATTTGTACACTGTGTGTATTGATGTGTGTATTGATGTGATTGGGGTAATAAAAAGCTGAATGGCCAATAGCTAGGCAGGAGGTAGAGGTGGGACTTCCAGGCAGAGAGGAAATAGGGGGAGGAGTCTAGGAACATGAGAGACACGGAGGAAGCAGGATGGGCAGTATGTGACAGAATGTTGATTAATATAAATTGGTTAATTTAAGTTATAAGAGCTAGTTAAAAACAAGCCTAAGTTAAGGCTGAGCTTTTGTAATTAATAAGAAGTCTCATGTCATGGTCCAAAGAAAAATTCATCTACAGTGTATACACATGCATGCATATGCATTGGGGGCCACAGCTCATCACTCTCCACCTCATGTTTTGAACATTGTCTCTCACTACACTTGGACCTTACTAACTGGCTAGGGTGACTGGCCAATCGTCTTCAGGGATCTACTTGTCTCTCTTCTCTCAATGAAGTTATAGATGCACTCCTCCACACAGGGTTTTTATGTGGGTGCTGGGGATCCAAACTCAGGTTTTCATGCTTGCAAGGAGGCATTTCACCAGCTGAGCTGTCTCCCTGGCCCAAATGTTTGCTTTTATATATTATTCTGCTCTGTGCCTCCTCCTCCTCTCCTAGCATCATCATCCTAATTCTTTTGAGATACCTATCATTCCTTTTGTCTTTTCCATACTCACGTTTGATTTTGGAGGTTTATTGACTATATTTGACTTTCTAGAAGAAACTAAAATCAGTTAATTACTTAATCATTTTAATGGATTGCTTCATCAGATTTTAAAATCCACATTTTTTTTCTCTTGTTAGCTAAGTTTTTCTATGAAAATAATTTATTATGTATTTTAAGCTCTGGGGTTTCCGGTCCCTTTTCAATCAGACTCGCAGTGTCTTTTGTCAGTTGTCAGTTGCCTGCTGAAATGTTGGACCTTGGCTTTCATAGACTTCATCTTTGAAAACTGTTGTTGTCTAGTTTATATGGGAGGTGGCAACATTTGGAGTCTTCCACTGTTTACAATCTCTTTGTTTGTGCTGCTTTGGGTCTATGTTGCCATGGCTCCCCACCCAAACAGTCTTTTTTGATTATACTCTGGATACTGTACTTGAAAAGTAGATTGTAATAATGATTTGAGGCTTAAGGATGACTCTCCTGCCGCCAACAGAGATTACTTTAGTGTGTGTCTGCATGTGCCCACAGGCAGCAGTAGATCCAGATCTAGGATTGGAAATTGGGGCTGTTTGGTGGCAAGCTCACAGCTGCTCTGTGAGCTTTCCATGCATACTCTGGGGGCCGTGCAAAATCATAGGAGAAAAATGGGGGTCCCACCCTTGGAAGACCAAACTCTGTTTCCCTTTGCCTTAACAGTGACACAATCTGCCATTTGGTTTTCGTTACCTCCTCTGTACTGACAAGTGTTGCTGAGGCACAGGGGGGTAAATTTGCCCCTGGCTTTGCAGTTCTCTCTTGGCTCCTGCAGCAATTCCTCCCATTCTGTTAGCATCTCGTTGCTGATGATATTATTTGCTTGGAGTTTTAATTGTCTTAAGGGCTGCATTAACTGCTTTATCATGACATGAATTAAATGTGTCTCACACACACACAAAATGTGAATTAGAGTCTATTCTGATCTGCGACTTAAAAATATGTTTGATCTTTGACAACTTACTTGTAGTTACCTCATAGGTAAAAAGGATTTGAGCAGAGTTGCTTAGACTCTCGAAATTTCATTTCTGTATAATGAACACTACTTAGAATGCAAACAGTGGATTTTGCTGGAGGACTGTGTTAGCTCCCCATTACCAAGATAAGCACCTTAGATAACCAATCTATAAAGAGCAAAGGAAGGTTTGGTCTCAAACTCTTGTCCACGATCACATGGTCTTGATGGGAAAGCCCGGTGGCAATGTCATGGAGCAGGCAGTAAGCCCCAACTGCTCACATGGAGACTGAGTAGAAGAGGAGACTGGAGGCATAATCTCTCCAGGAGACATCGCCCCCAGAGACATCTGAAGACTTTCCTTGAGGATTCCATCTCTTAAAAGTTTCACCACCTCGGGTTGGGGATTTAGCTCAGTGGTAGAGCGCTTGCCTAGCAAGCACAAGGCCCTGGGTTTGGTCCTCAGCTCAAAAAAAAAAAAAAGTTTCACCACCTCCCAGTAACATGACATTGAGGACAAAGCTATTAATACATGGGCCTTTGAGGGGAACATTCCAGATCCAAACTAAAGGAAGCAGCTCAAAAGGAAGAGCTAGAGGCAGTGTCCATTGCTTTGCTTTTCTTCTAGATCTTGGAGAACCTGGAATATGGTAGGCGATAGTATTTGGGTCGGGGAGTGGGGAGAAAAGGAAGAAAGATTCCTGGTGATTTGCTATACTTTTGTTTTGAACCTATGGAGTCATTGCTACCAATTGTCCTTGTGAATGTAGCCGTGGCTTGCCTGAGACCAGCGAGAGAGAAGAGGATGGGCCTCATTGGGCTTGCAGAGTCTAATGAATCAGCAGTCTTATGGAAAAACAAATGTAGAATCTTAAGCCCCATCCAAAGGAGTGCATCTGACAAAGGGTCATACCAATCAACGCAAGAGTTCCCAACTCAATTTCCTTCACCACTACACAAAGCCATCCTATTACCATAGCAACCTGTGTGCCAGAGATCAAGAGACTTTATCGAAAAACAGAGAGAAGCTGATTGATAAGGTCATTAATCCCATGGCATGGAATCATGGGGAAGGCAAATGTGTCTTCATGAAAGGGGTCTTTCAGTGGTCTTTGTTCCTATGGTGTGTCTGTCTTTAACCCTCCCTTCAACAACCAAGGGTGCCTTCTACTGTGGCTCCCAAAATTCTAGCTATAAAAGAAACAGCATGGTTTCATTTCACAAAGCATAAGGGAAGCTAGATAGTAATTGTTATTTGAGATTCATTCATTTAATTAATGCATTATTACTTAACAGTTCTCTCTCTCTCTCTCTCTCTCTCTCTCTCTCTCTCTCTCTCTCTCTCTTTCTCCCTCTCTCACCTTACTTTAATTCTAGACTGAGAAACAACTGTCTCTGAAAAAGCCATACCTTCTCATGCCTGTCAGGAGAGTATGTCAATTCCATAGGTGACCTCATGGTCAAGAATCTATATGTCTGATTTATTCAAAAGAATAAATAGACCTGTTGCACTTGACAGCAACCACTGGATTATTTTCAATGTTCAAAGATAAAATAGACACCCATGCCTAAAACCATGGATGTAAAAAGCCAATGGGGTTAAACATACAAAGGAAACTAAAGATCAGTTTCTGGGTAGAGGTTTTATTGGCAAGGACAAATGAAAATTATCATCATTAAAATCTCAGGAATAAAACTCTAAGCTCTGCCTTGTGCCTCCAAAGTCTCTTCTACGGGGAACAAACTCTGCCAAGGAAGAGCACGTTAGCTGTGGGATTGTGCCGAATGAAGAAAATGAATGGGTGATCCACTGTGAATTCTTCCTCGGGCAACAACATGCAGAATGTAGCGATGCCTCCAGTGGCGGCGGCTGCCTCTGTTCCCTCCTCATTCACTTCCACAAAGGACTTGTGGATAATTTTTGATATGAAGAGATCTCTGGATCCTGACATGCCAGACAGATCAGCCTTGCCACTGCTAAAGAGATCCTGCACTCCCAGGCGGCCAAGGTTGGAGTTGAGGGTGTAGCTCTCTTCCAGCTTGAATCTGGGCAATTTGACATGGACATCAATGGTTTCCAAGTTCTCACGTTTGGTCCATTCATGAAGCTTTTCCAAAGTTAATTGCTCCTCAATCTAGAATTAATGTAGAGCATAAAGAAGTTAATTTATTATTGTAATAAGGTACCATTCAAATGAAGGGATTCGCAGTTGCCACGGCTCACAGAGTTTCCTTCATGCTTTCTGTCCAAACAGATTCTACTTAAAAGATTTCATTTTTGTCTGTCAGTTGGTAGAATATTGCAGAACTATTTTCTAGGTCCTTGAGGGTCCAAGTACAAAAACATTTAACAGCAGAACTATCATCCATTCATCTACCCTCCTACACATGTGCCCATCCATAGTTCTCTCCATCCATCATTCACCCATCTACCCATCTCTCTCTTCTCCACTCACTCCTTCCATTCATTGGATTCTTCCCTTCTCCTCCTCCTTTAGTCCACCCATTTATCCATTCCTCCATCCTCTCAGGATTTCCTAAACCCCCATCTCACTGAATCACTTTGATAGGCCATCACAGCTTTTATTATCATGCTTGCTTGAATGGTACAAGGGAAATTTTAGATGTTTCTTCTATTTATTGTGAAAGCTTCTAAAGTTGTAGTGATCTGTAAATTCCACTATAGCCAAAGTAATCTCTAATAACTCCTGGGTAAAAATAAAAAAGGAACAAAATGCGTGGTACTTAGTTCATTTAAAACAAGGACAAGCAGCTGGTATGGGGCACACAGCCTGCAATCCCAGCATTTGGGAGCCACTGATGGAAGCTGTGAGCTTAAGGCCAACCTAGGCTGCACAGCAAGACCTTGTCCATGCAGTGGAGTAGAGTAGAGTGGAATAGAATAGTTACATAGAATAGAATAGGGATACTAATGGCACCAACTTTGTAGCATTGTTGTGACCATTGAATACATTGATGTATTTAAAGGGTTTAACACATAGTAAGTACCATAAAAATATCAAGTATTTTTGTTCCTCTAGACTAGAACAAAACCATTTATCTTATGGACAGCAAAAATTTCTTTCTTTAGATTAGAGCCTCACTTTGTAATAAAATAAAATACCAGCAAGAAAATACAGCTGACAAAAGGACCACATTCACGTCAGAACTACCTCTGCACATGCGAATAACAACAGGGTCCTTCCTGATTGCAAGTGTAGGCTGGAAAGGAACAAGAGTTAAGCCACACGGTGGCCTAGGACTTCTGAGGGAAAACTGTAATCTTCACAGTTGTGTCTACTTCTAGCCCTGTCAGGAGACACCCAATCTCCAAAGATGTAAATCACTTCTTACTAGACTTCCTTTCAAGAGACTTCGAGAGACTTCCTGTGAGGGCCACTCATCACTTGCATTCCCCTTTATATCCTTAGATGTTCCTCTACCACAGTGGCTCACTGAGAGCAGCAGATAATCTGAACATTTAAACTGTAGGCTTCTGGGCTGGGAGTGAGGCTCAGTGACAGGACACTTAGCACAACATACTTGGGCTCTTCAAACAATAAGTAATAATAATAACACTAATTAACTGTATAACATGAGGCCTCAGAGGAGTAAGCCCTGATGGACTGTATTAACACAAACGGTGGCATACTAGCAAGGGATTTTGCATGAAGTCTGTGGATGAACAGCAAGAGCATACAGTGCAGTGTACACACAGGAAGTTTAAGTACAGTACAGTGAAAGGAAACACGAATCACAATGTTGAGAACCAGGTACCTTCTTAAGACCCGTGGACGGGTCCTCAGTGTCTTCAGGCAGCAGAATGATCATGCTAAGTTCTTCACCCTGGTAAGGCATCTCTAGCACCTTGCACTTCAGATCCTGAATGTAACCGAATGGAAACTTTTTCTTTTGGTACATCATCTTCACTGTTTTTGTGTCTTTCTGAATGGTTACAAAAAAAAAAAAAAATCACTCACATTATTCCCTTTTGTCTTTTAGAGAAGAGAGGAATTTTGGGTCTTGGGGTAGAGTCCTCAGTGGTAATGGCCTGGCTTAATGGGGGAGGCCCTGTGGTATATCCCTGGCACTCACACACAACCAAGAACAGCCCAGGATGGTAGTGTCACCTGACCTTATTCAGTCGAAATGGCGCATCGGTTGTGTCCTGTTTCATGAATTTCTCCTTCCACAGTCCCTTGAAGTAGATGGCATTCACCAGCACAAGTTTGGTCATGTTGTCAACCACACCCTCAGCCAACAGTTCTGGAATTTTCCCTGAAAAGATAAAGTCAATTTTTTTTAAAGCTCCACATTGGAATTCCAAATTTGAACCAATAATTTATTAGCTCTAAAATGTGATTTAGACATAGACTTCATACTTTATTTCAACTCAGTCTTAAGTTAGGAAAGACCCACTTATCCTGTTTCTACTTAAAATAAACCAATTTGTAAGACCCACAAGTTTTACTGAGACCTGTGTGCCTAGCATGTTCTGAGGTTCCAAACCTTGAACCAGAAAAAAAAAAAAATCACTAAAATAAGTCAAATGTCTTCAAAGGTTTAAAATGAGAACATTCTCCTTTCCTGGGTAGAGACAATAACCATTATTTTGTGAATGGTTGTTTTTTACAGAAAACAAATGAAATTCCTTAGTGGAAATGTTTTTGGTCACTGGCAAATTATGTCTTCAAATCTGCTAAGCAGAAGCCTCCTCTCATGAAAAGGACTTTTAACCAATACCCAAGAGATAAGATTTATCCTTGGATAAGTCTATTGAAACAAAAGCTACTCTCTCCACAGCCTGGCACACTGCTGGGCGGGAACTGACAGGGATCCCCTGGGTGCTGACTCACACAGTAATAAGACTGAAGAGAGATCCATCACACAGCTGAATTGAGCCTAGAGGGTGAGTCACTCCCTACTCACCATCCTGAGTTACTGGACAAGATACTGGCCAAACATAATCTGACTGCAACCCGTTTCTTTCAATACAGGCACTTTATAAACACTTTGGGGCAGGCATTTTTATTAATTTTATTCTTCATTTCAAGTTGGTTTTAACTTTACATTATAGTTTAGGAGAATCCACAAGTTCTCAAATGCCTCCATTAAATCACGTCTGTATTTCTCCATTGGTAAGTTTCTGACATCTGACGTTGTCCCTTATACTAGGGAACAGCATCTGAGTGTCAGTGAACATAAGTCAGGATTTGGGAAGCTGAGGGAGGGAGAAAGAAGGAGATGCAAATGAGAGAGTGGAGGGGAGTAAGAATCTGTGCACAATGGTCTGCTAAGGTTCAGAGGGTTCCCCAAATGCCCGTGTCTTAAAGGTTTGGTCTCTGGTCCATACAGCATTGAAAGGCAGCAGAACCTTTAAGAAGTGGAACCTACTTGGAAGTCTTTAGGTCACTGGGGAATGCGTTTTCTTTTTTCTTTCTTTCTTTCTTTTTTTTTTTTTTGAGACAGGGTCTTGCCATGTGTACTCAAAGCAATCCTTCTGCCTCAGTCTCCCAAGCACTGGGATTGTAGGTCTTCATCATCAAACCTACTTTGAGGGAGGGATGCTGCTATTGAAAGTGATGGTAAGACACTGGTATCTCCCTCTTTCTTTTTATTCTCTGGTGAGGTGGACAGGATGGGCCTCCTCCACCATGTTGTCTCATGACAAGGCACTGTATGGCCATAGGACCAAACCAAAAGGGCCAACTGGTTAGAGACTGAAACCACCGAAACTGTGAGTCAAAATCAGCCTTTTCTCTCCTTAAGCTGATTATGTCGGGTATGAGCAACAGCAACAGAAAGGTGACTAACAGAGCTGCTCAGCCTCTCACCTTCAGTTTGACCTTTGACCCACTGGTTTATGGCCTTCCTTGCATCCTCAGAGGCATTCTGAAAATCCACGGAGGCCAAGTCAGCTCCGTACATTTTCTGAGTTGAAGCCAAGAACTCCTATTTTTAAAAAAAGAAAGTGTCATGAATAACTTCTATTCTCTACAGAAGTTTTCTAAAGTCCCAAAAAGAAAAGAAAAAAGTCATAAGAATTAAAAAGTTTCATTAAAACCCAACCTTTATACTTTTCCGTTGTGCTGAAAAGCACACAATGCTAAATGTACTGTCCTAACCACTTTTTAAGGTTACAGTGCGGTAGTGGTGAGTGCAGCCTTTTATTTAACATTTCTGGTGTTAATACAAAGCTTACTAATTCTTTTTCAATCTTACATCAACATTTCATAAATCAGCAAATGTTGACTGTACTTCAAGTGGCTTTTCAGATCCGCTTGTGCTTTGTGTGTGTGCATATGTGTATGCATGTGTGGGGGGTGTATGTGTGTGTACATGTGTATAAATGGGTGTGCATACCTGTGCATTTGTGGAGGCCAGGGAAGGATGCCAGGTGTCCTGTTCTCACTCTCTGCCTTATTCCCTCTAAACAAGGTCTCTCCTGAACCTGGCTAGGGTGGTCCACAATCCCATGATCCTCCTAGTTCCATTCCCACAGTTCTGGGGTTACAGGAGAGTGTGAGGCCATGCCTGGCATTTTTCATGGGTTCATGGGTACCGGGATCCAAGCTCAGGGTCTCATGCTTGCACCGGAAGCTCTCTTACCCACTGAGCGGTCACCTCCGTCCTACTCTTGCTTTAATAAAACATCCAGGAAGGAGCTTTTAGAAACACTGTGAGATAAAAGGTCCACCTGCATTCTCCGTTGTTTTTATGAATGAGCTGCAACATGGCTGTACTGGGAAGAGTCTGTATCATTTAGGAAGTTTCAGAATGTGAAGTGCTAGGTTCTTACCGGAAGGAAATTGTAGGTTTTCTCTCCATACAGTCTGTTAGCAAGTTTCAGAATGTGGGAAGCTCCACGTTTGCTCACTTCAGCATTCAGGCTTTGAAACCTTGAATGGATATCCTCAACGGCATCGAAATGAAAGGTCTAAAGTAAAGAGAACATTCTTTATACAATCATTTATTTTGAAGTTATAAAGTGATTCCTTGGTGTCTGATTCCACCAATTTTTTTCTCTAATACTGATTAACTTCAGCCTAGTGTTTTATTAATATGTCATTGGGAGAACAAACAAAATGGAACTGGAAATGTATGACTCAGTGAGATATAATAATTACATTAGACATGGCTTCTAAATCATTTTTAACAGTTTCACAAATGTGAATGATTAACACACTAAATCTGATTTTTTTTTTCCAAAAAAGATTAAATGGTATGATCATGTTTATATTCTGGGGTATATACAATTCTGCTAAAAAAAAAATCTCAGAAATAAGCAGTAAAAATAAGAGAGACCCAAAAGGTAGGACTGACTGAGGCTGTTTTCTTCGGTTATCTTACTAGTGTCCACAACTCCATCCCTTAAAAAATAACTTCCTTAAGTTTATTCTGGTGAGAGTTTAATTCCTCATCTGTCAGGTGCAAATCAATGGGCCCTTTATGGTTTTATGAGCCTGGGCTGGTTACTCACTCTATGGCACAAAGGACACAAAGCACCTAAGGTCCACAGTTCATGCTACTCGCTGAAACATGCAGTGTTTGCTACTTGGATGTACCTACTAGAATGACACAGGGAGGAAAAGCCTTGTCCCTGGAGTTGTGAGCCGCCTTAAAACCCACAACATTGAAGGGGACTTAACCTGTGAGAAGCACCTAGCCACAGGGGCAGAGTACCGAGGCAAGTCAGTTAGGAAATACTTTCCCCACTCCTGTCTAGGCTTCCAAAGGTGGCAGAATCCCCCTCTCAGAATTAGCACCAAAGCAGAAGTCCCCCCCCTCCGTCTCCCCCACACCCATTAAGGAAGAGTAGGAAGCTGTGGGGAGGAAGGCAGAAGTGACCTGCTGTCTCCTGGGAGTGGGGTGTGTGTGTTGGTGGAGTGATGGTCCCTTTCACCAGGCCACAGGGACTCTCCAATCCTTCCTCCTACAGAGCCACAGCCAGTCAAATGAGGCTGGAGAGAGTCCCAGGGTTAACCCTGGGAACACAGACAGGTGGCTGTCTTTCCCCTTGTCCCTACAAACAGGCCCCACCACCAACCAACCTGCTTACTGTAGCACATTCCCATCTCTCTCATGCTTGAAGGTGACGTTATTACAGGCATGATTTATGAGTAGTGGTGGTCCATGAGATATGAAGACAGGAAGCAGCCAGCGCTGAGGGGGGCTTACAGGAAAGCTGGCAGAGTCACTGCTGGGAATAGGAGCACCAAACGTGCAGGTATTGTCTTTGGTCACTCTATGTCCCCAGCTGAACAGAAACAGTGCCCTGTGCTCAGTTAGAGCTGGTGGAAAATGAACAGCTGACTGCTCCTGGGGGGCTTTTCTGAAAATCTGGCTACACCATGAGTAGCTGCTGAACCCAGTTTGATGTGGTTTAGAAAACACACCAGAAGATCTCGTTGGCACAACTGTTTGCAGGGAGTGAAAGCTGCCCAGTTTTGCTTCTGCTAACCTTCGAGAGCTGGGCCGCCGTGTTGCCTTTGGTCCCCAGAAAGACCATGGCCAAGGCAGATGAGATGCTGAAGGGAGAGATGAAGATGTTTCCTGTGGAGTTGTTTTCATTCAGGGTGCGGAACAGCTCCAAGGCAAAGAGGGTGTTGGCTGTGCTCAGCTGCTCCATGGTGAAGGCTGCAACACACGGGAGATCAGCATTGCCAGTTACTGTACCAGCAAGACCGTTCACCTCAATTTTGCCAACCACCCCATAGACCCTGCAGTTTGAAATCTCCCGGGCTCCCCATCCCAGCCAGTCCCAACCTGTCCAATCTTTCCCAAGAGGACAAGAATATTCCCCCAGGCACACAAAGCTGGAGCCAGACTTCAGCAGTGACACAGGACCAACACCAGGGTGTCTTAGGACTCTAACCTTCCAGACAGGTGTGTCTAAAGAGGGTCATGGCCAGTGACCTTGGCACAACCCCCACACTGCACAGCCTGTCTGGAGCTCTCTTTCTCTCCCTGTGGTTAGTCAAGTCCTTGTTCATCCGGGCAATGAATCCAGAAAACCACATCGACCTACTCTGCATAAAAGTGAATTCTGGTAAAGATAACAATGTAATCATTTTAGGGATTCGGGTCTCCATGCCTGAGATCAAAGCTGCAGTCTCAGCTGGAGTGGGATACACAAGTTAGAGAACACCACTCTCCCAGAGTCAGCCTGTGGTGACAGGGGAGAGGAACCCTCTCCTTTTGCAAACAACCCGTGCCTGCTGTACATAAGTGCTGCTTGGGGACCATCAGCTAACCCATTTGGGTCTCTACACTCAAAGCCTCAATTTGTTCAAGTACAGGCCAATCACGGGTGCGTGGCTGCTTAGCGACCAGGGTCAAGTCCAGTTCTCATTGTTGAGGATCTAGGCTCTCACCCGCCTCCCTCCTAGCCTTTCTGCAGGCAAAATTGACCCCGTGGGGCTGCAAGGCACTGTCTCTTAGCTCAAGGTTCAAAAAAAGGAGCTAGGGGAAAGAAAATTCTGACTGGAATCATTCTTCCTCTGACCTAGGCGTGGGGTGGCGCTGGGGATCCACAGAGCGTTCCCGGGGCGCCGCTTCGGTGAGGGCGCTGCTCATGGAGCAAGCGGGTTTCAGGAGACCGTGCGGAGAAGTCTGGCCTCCTCGGGTCGGCCAGCCACCTCCCTGCGATGCCACCCGGGGGCCTCACCTGCCACCTCGCTGCGATGCCACCGCGGGCCTTACCTGCTACGTAGCAGGTCCGGCTCCAGCTGCTGCAGATCTGGGAAGAAGCGCCCAGGGCCAGCTGCAGCCCTTATAGTATGCGGAAGGGGAGTGTCGTCCCTAAGGGCCCGAGCTGGGTGGAGAGGCTCCTTCCCTGGTGACAGCTTAAAAGTGAGTCTGCAGGGGTAGCAAAACGAAAGCAGAAGCTTGTGGCGAACTCTCAGCGACTGGTACTTTCCTCAGTTCCAGGCCTTTCTCTATTTCTCTAAGCAAAGACCTAATAAATTATTTCTTCCTGAGCTGTGAATGGCTGAGAGGATAAATGTCACCTCTTGTGCGAGTCAAACGATTGTCCTTTGAGTTCCACTGAAACAGTGCAAAACTCTAGGGGTCCTTTTTGTGGGGGTGGGGATGGGGGTGGGGATGGAGAAGCACATTTGTGGCCTCTTGGGGGAAAAGATCCCCTTGGATAAGGTACAGAGTGCCAGTTCCAAGGAACATTCTTGACTGCTCTGCCTTTGGGGTCCCAAGGCTAGCTCAATGCCACACCAGGCTGCAGAAGCCCCCAAACCACCCTTCTCAACTATTAGACTGAAACTTTGAACACATCCCCTCCCCATCAAACTAAAATTGGAATTGACTTGCGCAGGCCACCATTACCTTGACGGGCTCTAGTCTCCCTTGAAGTGTCTGGATCTGTAATGTCACAGAACTTGTCAGTGCTTCTCCGCTCTCTCTAGAAGGACAAAGAAAGACCTACTGTTTGTTAGTGAGGATCACATCATGTGGGTTGATGTTTGTTGGACCTGGGAACTTACATCTAATGAAAAAGAGAAGGGAGCCTGGGGAGATGGCTCCGTTGGTAACTTGTTTACCACCCAAACGTGAGAACCTGAGTTCGGATCTCTGAGAGCAGCTATAATCTTAGTGCCGGGGGTGGGGGTGGGCCAAGCAGATCCCTAAGAACATCTCAATGCTCAGCTAGTTTTGCTGAACCAGGGCACTACTGGATCAGTGGGAAGCCTTGTCCCCCCAAATAAGAGGGAGACTCACAATGTTGACCCCTGGCTTCCACATGGACATGTATTTGTGCCCCTGCGCACGCTCGCGCACACGCGCACGCACACGCGCACACACACACACACACACACACACACACACACACACGCACACACACACAGGTGTACACACATACCATTCTCCCCGAAAAGAAGAGAGGCACAGTCTGAAAAAAAAAAAAAAAAGCCAAGAGAATAGAGTTTACAACTGCCGTAATTAGGTTGCCATGATTTGAACAGATTGGACTTCACGGCTATTTCCAACAAAACTGGAGAGCCCCTCCATGGCAGGAGGTCAAAAGGACTGAAATAAAAACCCAAAGACTAAAATTCAAGACATGAGGCAGGAGGTGCCGCTCAGTGGGAAAGCACTTGCTGGTTCTATTCCCAGCCCAAGCCAAGGAAAGGGAAAACAGTGCTCAGGAAAAAAAAAAAAAAAAAGTTTTCTTGATGCGTTCTGTTTGTGCTCACCTGAACTCTAACTCATTTGGATCAAAGCCACTTCATATATAAAATATGAATATTTTCTCCAATATGAAATTGGAGAAAAAATATGACTTTGATGCCAGGTCCCAAAGAAACTCTGGACAACCGGCTAACTGTGGTGCCTATTAGCATACCAAATCAAATGCCAGCCTCTAGGCTCACTCAGTACCAGTGGCTCCTCTCAGCTCTTCTCACCCTGCCCCCTACCCTAAACCTCTCCAGCCCAGGGACTTCCCTTCTCTTCCCCAGGTTCCCTTTCCTACATGACCCTGTTGTTTTTGGCATGTGCTCTCTTGCTTCTCTTGGCTCTTGGCCCCTCCTCTTGGCCCCTCCTCTTGGCCCCCTCTCCTCTCCTCTCCTCCTCTCTGTCCCCGACCCCACGGCCCAGCTGGCCGTGTTCAGCCCACATGGAACAGTTGTGCACTCATTTCATTCACTTTCCTCATCCATCCAGGCCAGTAAGGGAAGTCACATTCTGTACACACTGGACAGCTGTGATAACGTCACCCGTTATCACGGTCAGGTGGCCCCGGTGGTACTGAGGGGTCTGAGCACCTTGATATCCCTCGCTTCCATTTCCTACCCATGGGATCCCATTGAAGGAAGGCACCAGGGTCAGCAGCATCACCAGGGCAGAGTCAGAGCTCCTATCTGGGGCACTGGAGGACCTGAGCTATAAGCAACCCCAAGATGTATACTCTAAAGAGGCAGCGGTCAAAGAATGGCTGATATACCAAAGCACAGTGGTCAGACCGGTCTCCCGTCCACCTCCACATACAAGCTCAGTGGCCCTCAACATGTGTTGCAGGCCACTTCCTTCTGCTGGAAGCACAGGTTTGGTGTCTATGTGCCCGAGTCCGATGGTACCAGCCCGCTAGCGGGCTATCCTGATGTCCCATCTTCAGTTGCTGTTGGAGCCATGGTCCACCCTTTAATAATTCCATTAATCCGAGAGTGGCGGGGTATGCAGATTTATTCCATTTCCTAGGTGTGAGTGCACTGCCATGTTGCTTGGGCATCAAAGGATGATTCTTGGTCCCAGTGAAGGAAGTCTCCTAGGAGATCTAAACTTACACACAACACAGTTCTTTTCAGGGTGGCCATGAAGTCCCAGTCTCCACACAAGTGACCTGTGTATGTCCCCATTGAGCAGCAAGTTATTTTCATGGTCCTTGTCCCCACACAGGGCTCCTTGGACAGTCCATTCATTCAGCTGCCATACTGACCAGTTGTCCAGGCTGTTGGCAATGGTACAGGAGTCAGTAAAAATGTAGCTGGATGTGATGGCAAAGGTGGCCAGCATGGCCTGGATTATTCAGGGCCTGTTGGTTAGATTGTTTATGTTCAATCTAGGTCAGAAGATAGCCACAGAGTGACCGGATGGCACCCACATGATTACAGTTTTACAGAGCATCAGTGGGCACACCTCTGAGTCCTGGACCTTGAACCACAGGAGCCAGACCATCCACTATAGGTCACTAGGTCCCTGCTAATAGGTCAGCCTGTAATGCCCGCTGGTCCCTTGGTGTCTCATCTGGGTCCAATCTTTAATATACCGTTTCCATCCGGCAACTGAATTCTGTTGTGCCTGTCTGTTTTAACCTGATTGTACCGCCTATCAAAATATCCAAGACTGGGAGGATTATAAACAACAAAAATTTGTCTGACGGCTCTGAAAGCTAGGCAGTCCAAGGTCAAGCTTCCAGCAGGTTCGATGTGTCTGCCTTCAACACGGTATCCCGTGAAGATGGGGAGACAGTTCAGTGAGTCAAGGTGCTTGCCACTAACTTGATGACCCGAGTTTGAAGCTTGGAACCCAAAGTGTAGAAAAAGAACTGACCCCAGAAAGTTGTCCCATGGCTTCTATGTGGGTGCCGCAGCATGCACACCCACGCCCCTGCACACACACACACACACACACACACACACACACACACACACACACACACACACACATTTTAAAAAATAATTCACCTTGTTGCTGTGTCCTCAAAGATGGAAAGTGGAATCATAAAAAGGACAGAATACCCCTTTTAAGGGTCTCAATCCCACTCACAAGGGACTTTTTAATACTTTTAGAGGATTAGGTTTCAACATGAAATTTAGAAACAACACAAACATGCAAATCACAGTCCCATCCACCAATCTTGGTCCCCTCAAACTCACGTCTGTTACAGTTTGGGTATGGTTGGAGTGTGTCTCCTCCTGAGCATAACCCCCTTGGTGAGGTCTCAGAAGGTAGTAACTTCCTGTGTGGTGTTTGGGAGGTGGGGACTTTGAGAAGTGGGTAAGATTGCATTAGGTTCTCAGGGTGGGGCCTTCTGACTGAATACTAGAATATCACTCCCGTGGCCACTAGGTGGCGCGCACGCCTTGGCTCTTACATGTTATTTGAGTCCGGTGCTTGTGACTTTCCCAGGCTGCCACGGCACCATAGCTCTTAGTTCCGCAGCTCTGGAATCTTGGACTCTTTTCCTGCAATGCCAAACATCTCCTTGGGACTCTGCCCAGATGAAGGCTACTGTCAGATGCCGAGTCTTGAACCCTGAAAACTCATAGTTATCCAGCCTCAAATGTTTTATTATGATAATATAAAATGGACACCGCCCTTTTCATGTACAAAATACATTCATCCCATGTCCCCCAACTTAATTCTAGCATTACCAAAATCAGATATGAGATTCAAGATATTATTCTTAGTGAGTCTGTGAAATCAAACAAGCTAATTTCTTTCAAAGTACGATGGGACCAGCTTAGGAAAATCAGTGACAGGCGAGGGGGAAAAAATGGTAGTCTCCACAAACGTCCAAAGGCCAGCGTTGCAAGCACTATGACAACTTGAGGCTTGAGAATAACCGCATCAGACCTCCCGGGTTCCATCTCCTGGGCACTCAGGGCAGGGGAGTTGAGTGTCCAGGGCTTTGGAGGACTCCATCCCCTTAACCACTAGGTGGAGCTCACGCAGCAGCTTTTACCGGCTGAGCCCAGTGGCTTTCTGGGGCTGCAGCTCTAAGTCTGTCTGGAATCTTGGAAGAGGCTCCGCCCTTAGTCCTGCGAAACCTCTTCCTTGTAGGGACTCCACAGAGTCACAACCTCTGGCTCTAATAGACTTTGCTTTGTGGTGGCTCCACCTCCGCCGCCACTCTCTGCCTCGGACCTGCCTCTTAAAGGCACCTCTTGAAATCCAGAAGAACGCACCACACTGCTCCACCTCACAATCGGCTGGCCTGAGGCACCTTGGCGCAGCATCGAAGTTTTCCAGAAGGACAGCAGAATCAAGGAGGGCCATATTGGAATGTGGGTGCAGCTGAGATATCCCAAGTTCCATAACGCACTGGGTTCCTCCCTTGAAACTCTTCTGCTTGAGGCGTTCGATCTGTGATGGGCATGGCAACTGGGATAATCCCTGTGAAGACTTTGACTCACTTCCTTGTAGTAGTGATTAATAGCTCCTGGCGTCTTGCCATATTAATCTCTTTATCAAAGGTTAGTTGGGGGTACACCCTTTATTTTCTTTCCTGGGCGTGCACTTTCTTTCTTTACAAGGTGGAGAATTTCCTAAATCTTTAAGTTTTGTGCTCACTGGTCTGCCCACCCACCCTCCACTGTCACACACACACACCTCTCTTACACACACACACCTCTCTCTTACACACACATCTCTCTCATACACACATTCTCTCACACACACACACCTCTCTCTTACACACACATCTCTCTCACACACATTCTCTCTCTCTCTC